AAAGATGGCAAAATGAATGATAAGCCATGGCAAGTTGGAAGGTTCTCACATAATCTGAGGAGCCATCTCCATAAAGAGCATTTGGGGCTCCTAAACATGGAAACTCAATCCGATGAACTGAACGTTGAAGACCCCTTACTGGATTCATTTRTTACAGGAATCTTCGAGCAGGCCAAGCAGAACGAGGATATCTACAAGATGGTGTTTGGGTCGAGGATACTACCAACCGATGAAGTTTGCAACAACAAACAACTCCAAGACTGGAAAGGGAAACGAGGTCTTGCTGATTCCGACCAAGAGCAAGCAGAAGCGRAATTACTAGAAATCCGCGGGAACATCGTGGCTTTTCCACGTAATTTCTTAAAGGATGAACTGCATYCATTGATMTTTGACGGAACACATGTAGTCACGAGGACCTGAGACCAATGAGAACGTCCAAAAGACATGAATATAAAACTCTGAAGATTTTCTTCAGTATATATTAATCTAGGTRCGTCCCTTCTGGTGGYGATAGTTTAATAATTTACTTATGAACGAAAAAAACGTCAAAACTTTCGTATGCTAGCTAAGAAATTTGTAGAGATCTTGGTTCATAATTACAGAAAACTAAACTAAGAACTTTAAGGAGAAATCATGCAATAATTTACCGAGCTAGTACGACATAACAGAAAGCGCATGCGAATATGAGGGTGTCAATGGGGGTACCCAAAAGTCAGTTAYCTACTATTTTTTGGGCCAAAATTCAATTATCTACTATATTTTGAAACGTCAGTAAACTAATAATGTTAGATGGGCATTAACTTCTGGTGACGATAGTTTAATAATTTACTTATGAACAAAAAAAACGTCAAAACTCTATTATGCTAGCAAAGAAATTTGTAGAGATCTTGGTTCGTAATTACAGATAACTAAACTAAGAACTAAGAACTTTAAGRAGAAATCATGTAATAATTTACTGAGTTAGTACGACATAACAGAAAGCGCGCGCATGCGAATATGAAGGTGTCAATGGAGGTGTCCAAAAGTCAGTTATCTACTAATTTTTGGGTCAAAATTCAATTATCTACTATATTTTGAAAAGTCAGTAAACTACTAATGTTAGATAGGCATTAACTTTTGGTCTCTTGTATCGAATGTCATTTGCATTATAAATTGCATTTATAATGCTAGCATCACCAATAAACTGATTTGTGCAAATATTTTATGATTGTAATATGTTACTTGCAGCAGTTTTTGCAGAGACAGGGAAATGGTTAGGAAGCCTTTTGTTGTTAGGYTTTTGTGCACTTTTTTCCAAGCTTGACCGTGCACAATCTTTTGTTTAACTGTTGTTTTAGCCAAACTGGTCACATCTGAATGAAYAGAGAGAAAATTATTCTTTTGACTTTTTCTTTAAACACAAAAAAAATTAACAAATATTGAAATATTTCATTTCATAAWCTCATAAAGGGTGTTTATGCTTAGTCATTTTGCAATTTCTATCGTCCGTGCACGCATGACTGATTCAACCTCAAAAACGTACAAAAGATGCACAAAAGAAGTAGAACAAAAAGGTTTTCAAACCATTTCCCTCTATTAACTATGATASAAACCAACGGCGACCTCCGAAGGCGGGGGAATTAAGGGGGATCGGGAGGGTCCTTCCCCAGGAAATTCTTGATATACTAAMTATTGGAAATGTGATTTTCAGCGTTTTGAGGGGCATAGAGAGCATACAAAATGCATCAAACCCCAATAGTACGCACGTGCGTATATGTGTAAAAGTCTCTACGCGAATTAAATGTTAGTAAGGAAGTCAGTTAAATATACAATTKTCATTAGTCAGTTAACTACTATTTTTTGGCCAAAAAGTCAGTCATTTATTAATTTTTAAGCCAAAAGTCAGTTAACTATTAACCCCATTGACACCCTCGAATATATKTACGAAGGCTGGATGTTAATTATCCAACAGAAAAAAACTTTGATCCAGGGGTTAAAAAGTCATACAAAATCTATAAATTGGATGAGTAAAATATCGCCTGCGGCTCGAATCTATATGTCCCGATAAAACACGCACTCTCGCTCTATAAACAACACATGCAAATTATCTAACWAATTTCCRAATTTTGTTRCGCTCATTTAAATAAAAACGAACAAAGTTAGGCCCGCGCTATACGCCGAATTTCACATGTGCCGAATACAATTCACGAATTAAATGCATGTGAGATGCGTCGTATAAATCAATTAAATTCGACAGTATTAGATTAAATACGACTTCGAYTAAACCGTCGAAGATACTAAATATGTAAATAACTAAATAATAAAAAGATAAACGAGGAGTATTAACTGAAAAGATAAAGAAAGAAAACAAAGAAACAAATAAGTAAATAGATAAAAAAATAGATAAATGGAAGTAAACGAAAATGTGTGAAGAAACTGAAAGAACTAAGGAGAGGAAAATGATAGTGATGAAACAGAAGGTGGAATGTATATGGGCAAGGGAAAGGGAAATGATTGTTGATGAGTGGATTATGTAAGTGTGTGGGGTGATAGTTAGAGGAGAGAGGAATAAATGAGTGGGAAAGAGATGGAGAACAATGAGCATGTTGAGAAGGGTAGGATAATAATGGACATGAAATTGAAAGTGTGTATGGTAATGGACAGGCGGGGAGAAGAGTAAAGAGACGAAAGGATGTAGAAACGCCGAAAAAAAACCCGATCGTTACATTTTGAAATAACACCTTAATTAGTGATTACTTATTACTCATTTTAAAATTACACTTTATGATTTATTTTGCAGGAATATTTAGGAATTCATTAAACTACAGATGAACGTGTTCTACTTCACGGGTCATGTTTTGTCTTTTAATTATATTCCTAATTTCCTAAATCCCTAAATCTCAGGACAACGTTTTTGTAATTAGGTGTACAGCTATTTCAAAAAACGTTGTCGGGGAGAAAGGCGAACGGCGATTGGTGGAAAGGAGATTGTCGAAGGGAGATTTCACGACCCAAAGGAACTATATATATATGTTTTTCAGCAGCAGTACCTATGGTGCAGTTATATTTGAAAAGGCAACCCTATAGCTTGAATTCAAATTTCAAAACCTCATCCAACAATTTGCTTAAACTGCGGCATGCTCTCATAACTATGAAAGGAGTTAGAGTTGCTCGTTCGTGCATTCCAACAAGCTATTTCAAGAAGAGCAGCCAATCAGAACACGTTTTAGTTTTTCTATATAGCCTGTCGTCATTTCTTATACGTTGATGAATTGTACCACTCAAAGGATTTATTCTCTAGCAATGTTTATATTGTCACATATCAAACAATTGCTTCGGAAATTTTTTTTTTCGTTTGCCAAACTTTTTCTGACCATATATGTTAATCTTACCTTTTTTTTTTCAAGTTTTTCAACCTTTTAGTCCTTTAAAATGGGTAAAATTTACAAAATTTGCAGAGAAATTGATTTTCAACATTTGTCGGCCATTATAATTATGTCCTAGTCCCCTCCCATCCTTGAAAATAAGGAATCCCAAACAAAAAAACACACAGGTAGCCCGCGCGAATGTCAGAAAATTGTTTGATTGATAATTGAATGTGATTCTTTCGATATTACAACTTCTAGCCATTTTGGTGACCACAATAAGGGCGCAGTCCCAATTCACAAAGAGCGTGGATATTGATTAGGGTATTACGATATGGAGGTCGGTAAATTTAAACACTTGGATTATCAGCGACATTTGAAGTTAAACCTATTAATCATTTAAAGATAAAGCAATTTCAAGCCATCCTGTTTGAACAAACAGCGATTGATTTTCCGCGATAAAGAATTAAGGCCAATTCCGGAATTATGTCAGCCCAATATTTACTTCCGGCTTGTGGCGTGTTTGTTGAGCTGCAATGTGTGMAATGATAGTGTCTATTTCGTTAGATGTTAATTATGTAAGGTGATGCTAGTTTGTAAAACGTTGTTTTCTCATATATTTATTTTTTCATTTAGTAAAGGAATAAGAAGCCTATATTTCCGTAATTTTGTCATGGGGTACAGTTTGAGAAAGATGATTTACACCGCGATTTGGTAGAATTCTCCTAGGTTTAATTTATTAATTTTTGATTAAAAAGTAACAGTATCGCTGTAAAAAAACTAGCAGTGACGGCGTGAAAACCCCACACTAGCTTATTWGTCTGGGAAGCAAAAAATGATCTAGCAACAGATCGACACATACTATGCTTTGGATGGATATCCRACGTTTGTTTTGCRTTAACTTTACAGGCACAGGCTGGCTGAACGATCATTYCTGGCCTTGTATCTTTGAACTCTTTGCAAGAGGAGCCAACGGCTTCCTGGGAGAAATATATCTGTTCTTATGCCCCATCCAGCTGTAAATCACAACTTGCTGCCAGCAAAGTTATAATACATTCATAAGTAWTTTTTTTTTAATCACGAATAGGAATTTTTCCCAGGAAACTCTTCACGACCTTTGCAGGAAGGAAAAATCCCGAATATCTCTTAAATACTCAAGTGCTTTAACAGCCRTAAGGGAGACTTTTTCCCATTTTAAAATTCTAGTTCTAAATCACATTCCCAGAASAAAATTCGTTCAAGAACAGTTATTTAGAAGAACAGACCTGGCCAGTCCCTCCTGTCTTTGGGCTAACGTGATATGTTATTAGCGCTTTTAAACTTAAAATTTTCACTTGACTACAGAACAATAAAGGTACTAATTAGAAAACGAATATACGCGGACGATGTGTTTGTGTTCTCAATTCCCTTCTTTGAATGGGATAAATAAGTTATATATGCACTTAGTCGAAAATGTATATTATATAAGAAGAATTGTAGAGCTGATACGAAGGAACTTTCGATATTCTGGTTGATTAACCACGCACAAGTCCCGGAGCCTAGCATCCTCGGGATGGATSATTCGCTTGATTACCCGGGGTATCGTCTTCAGTTCTTCTGTGCATGGCCAGTCAGCCAGAATATCGAATGTGGTCCATTCAGGCATTGATCCAGAGATTGTTCATAGGATTTTTCTTCATTCTATGCATCATGGGGCAACAATGATATTGATCATAATTTATTACGCTTAAAGACTATACATTGTTGTTATTCATGAAGATTTTATGGAAACGTTGGATTCATTTACAGTTTTATCTGTCTGTCACTCGTTCTGCCAGTAGCGAACAGCTCTTTTTCGACGTCCCCATCCACCTCCTGCTCCACCGCCAGATGACGAGCTRTCACAGTTGCACAACTTTTTCTTTGTCTCTTGACAAAGCTTCACCTGAATAAAGAAAAGATTGATTCATGTTCTCACTAATGCTAAAAAGCATACTTTAAATATTAATTTTTATTTTAATGACTAGAGTTCTTCCGTGAAATTGCTCTCTTCAAGAAATTTCATAAAACAATTAACCGCAATGAAACCCTACTGGGCACGGCGGTAGTTATACGAGACTAGTTGCGGCTTGGAGTTGATAAATTCTGAATTTAAGAACTAATACATAATATTAGCTATTGATGCATGATCATTGTGTGAACAGTCAAACTCTGATCTTTCGGCGTAGTGCAATTAGTCTTACTACTGCCATTGTTATTTCGACGTGATATCACTCAATCTCGTACYCAGAGCSCGCACTATTGYCATYCAGCGGAAGTCAATGCGTGAGAGACTCWGGAGGAGTCCATTTTTTCTCGGTTCGTGATTGGTTGAAAATGACGCGAGCGCGCATTGTTTTCAAGTCGGTTTTTCAAGTCGCCAGCGSGCACTCGCCTCATTAGTCAAKAAAATCGTCCTTTTTTCGCATAACYACATATGTTTTCACACATTTTACGTGGGCTTCCTGTGGAAGTCCACGTCTTAAAATGCAACTGGCGATTTCGTCGTGGTGAATATTACGCTTCAAATTGGTAGCGCATCGATAGCGCATGCGTTGCAGTCTCAGTTTCCATGGAGATGTCAAAATAAACCAATCAGCGATTTTTGGTAGCGCCTGYGTTGCAGATGGACTGCAGTCTCAGAATGAAAACAAAATGGCTGACAGACGGCGGCAWAAAGTTGTCTCATTTCAAATGGTTCTAATGTAGCTAAAATGCTCTAAAGAGCTGAAAATCTTACAAAATCAACTGATTACCATCCAAAMGACATGGATTGAGGTATATAATTCAAGATAAGCGGATGATTCGTGCAGAAATGACTGGGCATTTTCTACCGCCGACTCGAAGAGCACTACTTCTTCGACACACAAGTGTTCGATGTCAAACACAAAATCTTCAAAAATGAGAAATCACATGGATATTTAAGGTTCATACTTTGACAGAAAACAATCATTCGATGGTTAAGAAAGCATATCAAACCTCATCTGAAAAATATTGATGGCATTTTCTAAACTAACGATGTGTTTGAAGTTTGGAAAACTGCACGTGTGAGCTTTACTGAACTCTGTATACAAAATATATATTGTGTATGAAGCATTTTAATTCTCTGTTGTTTGTTTTGATGATTGTTTAACTTGAAAAACTTAGACAAATCCAAAAACATGAACTGTCATTAGAAGGCTAAGGTACACCTTTATGATGGCACAGAACGCCAGATTTACAAATTAATGATAAACACAAAATAAAAAAGAACAGAAACACAAGATAAAGATACATGATTAAAATGATCAAAATATTATTCAAAGTTATACTGCCAAGACTGTACCGTTTCTATTGTTTATGTGACCTATATGACCTATCAGATATTTCGAATAATATAGACGCTCTTGAGCGTAAAGTCGAGCTAGTTATTTTGGAAAACTGAGAAAGACATGGTATCCAATTTACTTAGAGTTCAGTTCGGTAAAAAATTATGATGTAATAAATTGATAACAYATTRACTTRATTMTGTCTTGACTTATTACAAACAAAGACTATATTGTGAAAATGAAACACCATTGTCGCAGGAAGCCCACGTAAGCGATCCATGATCGTCTAGTTGTTCTTAAAAAGGTGTTAATATCGTTTCTAAACTGAGTTGTTTGCTAAACCTTCTTCATTTTTGTAATTTTAATGCTCTAAACGCAGAAAACAAATTTGACCTCATTTGCATAATTTGCGACGGAAAAGCGTCGCAAATGCAGTCGATTCCTCCAGAGTATCTCACGCATTGACTTCCGCTGGATGGCAATAGTGCGGGCTCTGGGTGCGAGATTGGATATCACTGTCTCAGACTCGTTCCCAGTTCCTTTTCCTTTGTTCTCGAAAAGCACTGAGAACGAGGTTGAACTCTGTATTTGAAAAAATATATATATATACATATCTAGGTTAATCACAAAAATACAAATAGAAAATCAAGCAATGACGGAAAAAAATAAACAGCAAAGAGTAGGGTTAACATCATTTGTTCAAAATAATCAAAGCTAAAGTTTAAAAGAAACCAAAAAAATATTATAACAATAGTATTTGTAAGAAAATAAGATAATATAGTTAAGAGAATATAATTATACACAATGAATATAAGAAATAAATATAATTATTGAAAAAGAAAGCATCAAATGAAAATGTTGTTGTTTATCAAGTGGTTGAGGACCCCTCGCCCTCGAAATGATAATTGGCAAGTGTGGAGTTTACATTGGTTCGAAAGTATGACCACTTTGACGACCTCAGAAGTTGTTTAATGAAGAGACTTTCAAGTCCAGAATATATTTAGAGGATAGTTAAATAGTTATTATGTGTCCACAGAACTCTGGATTATGGGCCCCTTGGGATTGCTTAGCTTTTTGCTAAAATAATAGTAATAAAAATAAAGTCGCTGCATTTTRTAACCGTGCCCCAGGCCTTCGGTCTGAATACGATAATTATATGATAAATCTCTATCTAGGACTTTCAAACTAGCGAATGCCTAATGACTTAGCGACTGGCTGGTTAAGTCGGTTAACTGACTGCATTTACAGATGATCAGTCATTGATTGATAGACGAGGCAATGATTATAATTTTTAGATTTTGATCCAAAAATATAAGATATAAGATTCCAAATTGAGATTAATGGCTATTAAGAATAATTGTTAAAAATATATTAGGGGTTGAATTTTAGTCTAAAGGCAATTTTTTTTATTAGAATATAAATTTTAAACTGATAATAATAATTGAAAAATTATTAATGAAAATTAAAAACGTATTTATAAAGACTCCCCTTGATTACTTGGGAGTGCTATCAGAGTCTGACATTTTCTTCTGCATTCAAACCTGATCCAAAGGCTTGAAAGTAACTTAATTGTGTACTGTATTGGTTTTATAGTAATGCTCTTTGTATTTCACTCGCTAAAAAGTCATTCTTCTGCCTTTCGGTGTCTATCAGTCTATCTGTTTATCAGTGTCGAATTGTTCAGATTTTTTTTTCAGAATCGACGCAATTAAATGTAGTTTTTTGTGCTGTTAATGTAACACTTTTATATACAAAAACCTTTATTTTTCCAGTAAGCCTTAACAACAGGTTCTTATCAAATACTACAACAAGCTTCTGTGTCGATTAAATGTTATTCTTAAACGTCAATTATACAAATATAATGCAATATTGTACTTGCAATTTTTATTTTAAGAGCCTACTTTGAGGTTTTAGCCTAAAAGGCTCGCAATGTAATCAATGAGAGAAATGTGAAAATGTGAAAATATCGGCCTATGAATACATTGAGCATCTTATATGCGGGGATATTTTGAATGTTTGTTGCTGTTTTTCAATGCATGTGATTTATCAATTAAGYCACGAGTGAGTTGCTGTTCTTTGTATTAGATAAAGTCCTGATGATAAGTATTAACAACCAGCATTAAGATATTTAATGCGTCTTATTTTACCCTAAATACGACATGATCCTTTTGAATTGAACATCACCCTTCATTGAACACCAAATTATGTAATGACTGACTCTCACCAGTTTGTCGAAGTGACTCTGGTCGACATGATTTCTTGAATAAGAATTTCCAGAGGCATACGTCAGGCAGAAAGCTGTAAACTGGGTGACCTTCTGCGACAGGGGTTCAATGCCCAACCCTAGAGCCGTATAGCCTCTAACTTGTGTTACACTAAGTAGGCCAATGACTAYAATAGCTAAGAGATTGCAATGTAGCCTTTCCATAGTCGTTGATCTTTTACTGTTAGAAGCGTTGGCTAAATGTGAACAGCTTTRACATAAGTACTCATTATAATTTAAGTTATTTAAAAGATGAAGTATTCCAATTTCTTATTAAAATGAGGCGTAAGGAAACAAGGCGACAAATTCAAATATGTGTTATTAGACTATACAAATACGTTTTTGTTTGAGAACTGGAAATGTAGGAAATCAGTTATAAGCAATTACAATAAAAGAAAAGAAAAGAAAACAAAGAAAACGTAGGGATGATATTTATTGACCGAATAAAACATTTTGAAAGACGAAGTCATTGTGCCATACATTATTGAATTTCATGTAATCATTCCCTTCCTTTTTCTTTCTTTCTTTTCTATTTTCCTCTTCGACAAATTGACAGTAAATATTTATTTTTTTTTGTGTCATCGCTTAAAATTGAACGGCTAGCCAAATGCGACCAGTTTTTTTTCTCAAYGAAACATCTTTATAAGTACCAATCCCACGAAAAAAGGTAATGTCAAAGAATAAAGCAAGATCAACCAATAAATTAATTGATAAGCCATAATGTTTCACCACGTAACAAGGCACTATTGTTCTATTTACCCAATTATGTCAACAGAAAATCATGRGCTGACATGAGCAAACAAAGATTGTTATTCCAACAACCTAACGTCATGAAAGACAAACAGTTGTAGCAAACTTAATAAAGTTCCTGATTAGTCCAAACAAATGCTTCTGGATCTGAATAGGTTTGAATTTGTTTGACTTTCTATGTCAGTATGGATTTCGTGTACTAGTGATGTCAACCACCCCTACCATCAAACAAATCTTAAAATTTCATTTTCACTGGTGAAATAAGGGTAAAAGGATCAGTATGGAGAAGGAAGGTTGTTCTTACAGCACTTGTGTGCAAACTAATAAGCGGATATATGGATGCATGTGATGTTAAGGAAGCGGTGAGGGAAGCGTGATTAAGGAAACTTTGCACAACAGCAAATGAGTACCTTCCGTTCTGATTCATTCACTGCTTCCGTCTCCGCTTACTTCAAAAGTTGTACTTCATCACTGACAATCAGCATGAATGAGCAATGCTTGAATTTGACATACTTATACATCGCTGGGTTCCATATCAAGGGAGACTGGATGTCCCTTTGAATCGGCTAAATGACAGCAAAATTATTGTTCAATCTATGACTAACGAAACTTTTAAAACGATTAATAGCTTTTTAAATAGAAGTATTTTATTGTCCAATGAAATCCATGGGTTTGCAGATACCTAGTACGAGGGCACTGTAAGAAAGCTATTGAATTACGACAATCAATGAAATCGGAACCGAAATTTAAAATCACGAAGTATGCTGTGATGAGATTCTATACACAAGATACCATCTTGCTAGTGTCTGCATTTGTTCATCCTAACAATTAGGTCTTAATTTTTTTATTGTTTTACTGTTCGCTACTTATTATATAAGCAGAGGACTAAGCGAGTGTAACTGCTGTTTTAGTTCACAACACTCTCTGCACTTGCACTGCAGAGACCTTAAAAAAAAAACAACAACAACAACAACAACAACAACAACAAAAAACAGAATAATGCACCAAAAATTGCCATTTCTTCGAATTCGGCCAAATGAGCCTCGGCTTATATCCTAAAGAATATAAAGTATAAGCCCAATGGGAATACAGGCTCAACACGGAGAGAATACTAATCCATATAGTTCTATATTTCCATTTCCTACAATGCAAGTGAATATACACTGACATATGAGCAGCACAGAAAAGCAATGGACAGCGGTATACCCATGTAAAATAGGAGACCACGTCATTTCGGGTGCTCTGTGGGTGGGTTGTCTCAACTCTGTCCATGTTTGGGACAAGAGAGATCAAATCCTTGCAGTTCGCAGTAATATATTCATCGCAGGGAATTGCGGGATACTCGTACGTTGTTATGTAAATTCCATGCTTCCCTTTATTTCCGGAAGTGAATATATGGGTATTGTTATGACAGTATTTTTCCCCGTTTGCGTTTGCCTTTGGGAAGGCCATGGCGCAAGAGAGACTGCTGCCAAATAAGACAGCGGTTTTTCAATGCTCCCAATGAGACCGTGGAAGCTATTAAGACTGCCTAAATCTGATAGACTTATATAAAAACGGTTGTAAGCACGAGAGAGCAAAAATTTGTAAGAATTTCTTAGCAAAATATATATCAGATGTATAAATGATACATTATGGCAGAAATTTCACCTTTTTGAGACAAATTAGATTTTTTCGCTACCAGAACACGTGGAAGCGTGGCAGCCACTCCCTTCTGTGTGCGAGGGTAGGCAACTTGCTAAAATACAAATGCTTTTATAACATAACGTTTTCAGAAATCCAACAAGACAGCCTATTTATAGAAATCTCATACAACCTTGGTTTGATTTGGTTTGACCTATATTTTTCTTGTTTCTTTCATTTATTTTCTTGTTTTTGGTAAATGTAACCTTTGAGATGACCTTTTTTCTTTCACTATGTCAATAGGTCATTCTTYTYTTTTCTTTTTTTAATCGTTCCACATTGAATAGCCTTGTAAACTAAAGAATTCAAAGGGACTTAGCTATCGAAATCCTACTTTTAGTTGATTTTTGTAGTGYTCTCTGATAGTTTGTTTGCCTCTATTGATCTCAGCAACGAAAAGACAGCAAAAAATGCAAACTTCTAAGAGAAATAAATCTAAAGCTCACCATTTGACGAATTTGGGGTCGCGACATTCTTCGACGTCGCCTCTGYATCTTTCTCCGACGATTTCTAATGCTATTGTTTTGAAAATCATTGCAAAAATTTGACATTACGCCAACAACATAATTCATTCGTTCTAATGCTCTAGTTTCCGCAGTATTTGATTGGCCTTGCTTCAATACAGTAAGAATAACTAAGACCGTTAGACAGAGAACCACTAGCCGGTGTTTCTCCATTGCGATTGTGCCAGGAGTAATTTTGGTCCATATTTGTACTTTGGATTACAGTATAAAACAGCGTTTACTAATTGTTGTATATTATCCAATTTATATGATCCATGTGTTACATTTTATATTTGGGTTAAAGCTTCATTTATTTGTTTATTGCTTTTGGCGGTATTAAAATTGAAACTTTCAAAGTAAACAGTCTGTGCGAGACTATTAACTAAGCATCGTGACCGGGTGACAATTTTAATTAGTACTGCACTCCAAGCCATACTGTTAAACAAATGAAATCGACTGAACAATAAAGCAATAAACAAATTGATCGTTTGAAAAGTACATGTAATGAGTCAAATCTAGTGGAAAAATTATGTTTTCTGCATTGATCAAAACATTTTTTCTTGAGCTAACAACAACAAAAAACATTTTTGCCATKTTTGAAACAATCKATATTTTTTAATCGTCCAAACTCACGACCAAGGGAAGAAAACCGCCTTATTTCATACTTRRTTTAGTTTTCTTTGTTATTCATAGTGTTRTATCTCGCATATTCCCCAGCTCGTTGTGTATTCAAGTGCTTTATATCGAMGTTTCAGGTATATATCTAGATATCGTCCCCATTTGAGGGCAATATCTAAATATTGCCCTTGAATACTAATGTATATTGCCCTTGAATACCTAATTACAGTTGTAACTACTACGTTCAACTTAGAAATTTTCCGTCTGAAACTTTAAACTTGAAAGAAAGAAAGAAAAATTCAAATGATACCAAGTAGATTCGAACCCATAACCTTAGCTTTGAAAATCCTATACTTAACACGTTATGCTAACTGACTAATCGATGTCAGTTATGGAATAAAACAGTTATTTAACATTGTCCAGTTACTTGTTACAAAAAATGTATTGTTAGCATTGGTCTCATGGGACTAACGAGAAAATTGGTTATGCAAATTATTCCCGTTGGGAATTTTCAATACTGTAAATTTCGTAATCTTTCTAATCGAGGATTTGGTTTTTAATTCATATGAAAACGGCTTCTTTGCCTATTTAAAAATGAAAATATTAATGCAGTGCTTGGAAAACTTCTTCAAGTATGAAATAAGCCAGTTACATACCTCGAACGTCGGCAATCAGCCTATACATCCCTCGGGCCTACGGCCCTYRGGATGTATTAGGCTGATTGCCTCCGTTCTCGGTATATAACTCTTACATAGCGTGAAGAAGAAGCCTATTGGTTAAGATAATCGAGTCCAGACCACAGCTGTAAATGTGCACTTGCTTATAACACCCGTTACAAAAGTATTTTTTTAATCGRCGAGAAGAACAGCCAGCCGCCCTGAGGAACTACTTTCATAAAAAAAGTTCAGTGGGTTTTAGCAACTTGTATCGATGATATTGTGTCCGAATTCTACCTGGACAATAACCAGTCGTCGATGTGCGCCTTTTCAAAATGCCCAGTATTGAATAAGAAAATAGCTGATTTGTGTCTGAACGTATGATTAATATAATCTCACATATCAAATTGGTAATACCAAGTCAGTTGTTTAGCCTGCTTGCTCTATTGTCCTATATCAGGAAATCAATAAAGATTCAATGGTCAAGAAATTCAATTATGAATGATAAATTATAATTGACATTATTATGAGCAACATACATTGCTATTGCTCTTAAAGCAACAAAAGTTTTCTACCAAATCTCGACTAAAAGCATTTTAGTACTGCAGACGAAGATATAGATCCGCTTTTATAGCTATGTTATTGCCGGAAAAAGCCATAAACACGTTAAGAACGGAACAACCTCAAGCCAAAAGAAAAAATAATAATAATCTTACCATTTTCTT